GATGTGCTTCAGCGCCCGCTTCAGCACCTGCACGTACTCCGCCATGGTGGGGCGGGCCGCGGGCCAGCACCGCCCCGCTCCCGCCCTCGGTGACAGCGAGCGCCCGGAAGCGGAACCGGCAGCGAGATCCGCCTGCGGGCCTTTCCTGAGGGAGCGACACCACACAGCCTGGACCCATAGAACAATTGCCTACTGCTTACACCCGAAGGTCAGCAAGATACAAAGAACTTCAGGATAGGGAGAAAAGCCTTTTAATAATAGAAAGTGTACTGGCAATCCCTTATTTCACACGGGTCACAAAATCTGTGGTGAGAAAAGTTACCAATTCTTGGCAGCAAGGAGATCTTTTGGATCTGGAGACCGCCCGGATCAAGAATCAGGGGGCAGGGCAGGTGACATCTCACCCGGTGCAGGCTGCGGGTGATGGTCAAGGGAGAGCTTGACAGTCTTCTCTCTCCTGGCTTTTCCCAACCCTGGCAGGCCATCAAGGAATGTGTTTGTCCAGTGCCTTCTCCTGGTTCTACAACAGCAGGAGGAAAGACCTTAGATTGCCCTGCTGTGGATGTTGGCAGGACTTCACCACTATTGCTACAAGGCTGAGCAGGCAAGGTGCAGAAACCATTTCCCTGATGTTCACAAGGCTACTGCTACACAGGCCAGGCAAAAATAGATCTATTGTTCTTTGTCAGGGCAGGCAGGGCTTGGAAAGGCGCCTGATAAACACATCCAGCAACCAGTGCTGGCTGATGAGCAGAGACCAGCTGTCAAACGTGGAAAGGCCAAGCTGCTGCTATTGGAACTGGGGTTTTGGGAAGAGACAAAGCAGGAGTTGGGAGTGAAAAATTAGGTAGTGCTAAACTTGAAAGGAAAATGAGACTGGGAAACACCTGCGTCAGCCAACTTCACACTGTAGAAATATATCCATTTCAATGTAGTCCAGTGGTCGAGTTTCCACTCAAAATTTTTTGGTTTTAACACAAGTGGTTTTGTTTTCAAACACAAAACATAGGCCCTGCTGGTTCTGTGCTATGTGCTCAAACGACAATATCTCTTTTGCAACAACTCTTAGACTTCAGTATACTCGTGGCAGGTTATTTGCATTTGCAAAGTCCAAAGTCTTAGAAAATTTATTAAATATATTAAAATTTGGTCAGACAAGTGTGCATTAGCAGGCATAAAAACAAGAAGGAACATTTACAATCAGAATTCACTCATTGTCTTTAACTTCATCCACAGAAACCATTATTTTGAGATGAACTACTGATGATGGAGTGTGAAATATGAAAGAAGTGTAGTTTAAATTAGGAAGCCAACTTTGGAAACATTCTGTAGGTTCAATGCTTATGCCAGTTTCTAAGCCTATTTCTGATTAATGTAACTGGGATAATTTTCACTGACTGCAAGCATAATTCTATGAGCATTTTCTCTGCTGACAGTGAAATAATACAGTTGTTCGTTGTGGGTTTTTCCCAAAAGTTAAAATTATCTGGATCACTTCACTGATCCGTGTGACACCACAATTCTTTGAGAGCACTACAGAGGACAAGGCATTGTCCCACAAAGCTGGAAGAATGGATCAACTTCTTGATGTGACACTGATGCTACAGAAGATTTTGTGGGGAATACTTTCTTAGTAGCAGGAACATTTTAGAGCATCTTCTTCAAATTGCGTTGTGAATTTTTTTTTTGTACTATTTTCTCCATTACTTTAGTCAAGTGAGATCTCCACTGAGAATTTCATCATCTCATAATGAAAATCATGCTGAAATCCCATCACATCTACTTAATTGCTTCTGTTAATGTGTCACTGTGCATGAAAAAGAGAATCTGAATACTGTGCTCAAAAATACTCCCTGAACTCAGTGCAAATGTCACAGTTGAATACAGTGGAATGCAAATGCAAGTATGTCTTCCTGAGGATTTTCTTCCTGGAACATATCTAGGAGACAGCACTGAAATGCTGTCTTGTCACTCAAGGTGCTTGTCAAACTTGTGCACCCATACCGAATATTTAATTCCCAGGGTTTTTTAATTTAAGACTCTTGTTAGATGTTGCTTTTTTTACACCAAAATTAGCACACTGAACCTCACTGCCTCAAAAACTCTTCCTAAATACATTTAATGATGCCTTGTTTTTCTCCTCTAGTTCAAGTACATGTCACAAAATTAGCATCAGAACTCTTTTTCAAGCCTAGAAAACCCCCTCACAAGTCTGAACACAAGCTACTTGCTTATTTCCTAACAGAGCATAACAAACAACATATTTTTTGAAAATAAACAAACCAATTTCCTGAATGACTCAAAGGATGACAAGTAACTTCCCTTCATTTTGTTAGCACATGACCATCTCACTGAATCCTACATAGTTTAGTTTTTCCTTTAAAGAGCTTTATTCGGTGGTACAATTGATCTTGAAAAACTTAAGTTCATATATTCTCAGAAAGTGCAAAAGTCAACTCATCTACAGAATAACTTAGTGTTTACATATAACCTTAGAAGAACTCTTTTTGTTACATTTGCCTATTTCACTGCCATTTCCTCTGTTCTTAATATAGAAAGTCATGTAAATTTACTCCGCAGTATTTCACAACTGTGGAATGTACATTTGCAACAATAAATGGAAATACATTTCTTATGCAACAGAAGAAAGACTAACAAATAAGATCATACTATGCTGTTATTTCTGCCCCATCCTTCTAAAACCGCAAAATTCCAGAAGCAAAATCCAATCCACGACACAAATCTTCACAATTCAGTGTCCAATAATAATCAAATCCAGTCTCTAACCACAGTGTCTCTCACTTTAGTCTAAACAGTGAAATCTCTAATTCTTTCACTAAAACACATTTTTAGTCCTATTATCCATGTGTATTTCCCAAAAACACAGTAGAAGTTTTTGTCACTTGGGTTCTATTGATTGAAAAATTTAGAAGATAACGTCATAGCCTGGAACTAAGTGAAATGTTACCACAAAAGTACCTACTTCATCATTTTCAAAAACATTTAAGTATGTAAATGGTAAGAACAGTTTAGCTCTCAAAACCCCTAGAGAAACTAATACTGGCACTTTTAGAAAACACCTGCCACTTTGTGGGAAGTGTCTGGGTTATTTCTCTAGCAGTAGCTCCACCTTCATCTTTGATTTTCCAATGGCAAAATTCTGGTTACAGAGTGAAAGAAAAATTCCTTTTGGGGTTGTTCCTCAGGTAGCCTTCATTAGCCAAACTACATGGCTGTTCAGTTTGCTCCCTGGCAAAACCCTAGGATGAAGGAGAACTGAAGTAATCAGAAATGAGCTCAGACACCTCATGAACAGCTTATTGGAAGGGATTACACTGCAGGTCTGCAAAGAACCAAATCCACAGGGTTGGCTGCTCACATCTCTTGCCAACCAACTTTCTTGTCTGGGGAGTTGGTATTGCCAGGAGGTTCAGAGCATGGCAGTTTGGTTCTCTGGATGTCCAGCAGACAGCTCTGCTGCTGAGTGAAATACACTGTATTAGTTCAGAAGAACCCATGGTGGAGCAGTTCCATCTGGTTTCTCTGTTGTCACAGGCAAATTCACTACAAAAGTTTAGTTAAAAGCATTCCCATAACATCACTTCCTTGCTATCCATTGCTATCCTTGCTATCTTTTCCCCACCATTTCACACAGAACACAAATATTCCTGTCTCCTTATCAGCACCCCACCACCTCCCTTTAATCCAAGCAGAGTTAACTTGAAAATATATTTGGGCAAGCATTACTACAAGATCCAGCTATTAAAAAAATAATCAGGAAATGTATTTGTTCAACCACTATCAACAGCCACAAAAACCTTAAGCATCCAGATGTTGATACTTGAAGATGGTGATGCTCTAGCAGTCTAAGTGATTTGCTTTTACCTGCATCACAGTGCCTCAGAGGGCACAATCAGTTCTTACATTCAAGCCAAATGCACAACCCTGACTTCTTCTCCTAAAGATTCACCTCAGAGAAAACTGTATTCTGTATTAGCCAATGCATATCAGAGGGAGGGTAGGGCTATCCACAGCATGTATTAACACAAGCCTTGGTATACACAGAAAGAAAAAGCAGCTCATCATAAATGGATTCCTATGATGAAACAGAAATGTTCTTTGGAGTTACTTGGCAGAGGTATTAGGAGGTAAGGCAAGACTGGGTGCTAGGGATGTTTGTTGACAGAAGACAAATGCCACAGAGGTGGCCAAAAGGCTGTGGAAAGTTACTAGAAAAAAGAGTGGCTCATTAGCAGACTGACTGGGCAACAGGGCCCTGTAGAAGTTAGTGGATCCAGGGGAGGGCCACAAAAATGGTCAGAGGGCTTAAGCCCCTCTCCTATGAAGACAGACATAGTTGGGGTTCTTCAGCCTAGAGAAGACTCTGAGGAGAGCTTCTAGAGGCCTTGTAATAATTAAAGGAGGCTTACAAGAAAGATGGAGAAAGGCATCAGAGCCTGTAGTGACAGGATGAGGGGAAATGGCTTGAAACTAAACTGCAAGAGGGCAGATTTAGATTGAACACAAGGATGAAACAGTTGGATTCCATGATCCTAGAGGTCTTTTCTCTAGGTCTTTTCCAACCTTAACAATTCTGTGAAATTCTGTATGATAAGGGTAGTGGGCACTGGAACAGGTTGTCCTGAACAGGTTCCAGAGAAGTTGTGGATGCCCCATCCCTGGAAGTGTTCAAGGCCAGGCTGGACAGGGCTTTGGGCAATCTGGTCTAGTGGGAGGTGTCCCTGTTCATGGCAGGGGTTGGATCTACAAGGTATTTAAGATGCCTTCCAACCCAAACCATTCTGTGATTCTAAGTACCAAGAAAGGTTAAGTCTTCAAAACAGAGGCAAGATAGAGCCTGGAGTAAAATTTCTTGGGAAAGAGACTCTAAATGCTTATTTCCAGCTCTCATAATTAGTAAACTCATTGCATTATCCAAACTTTATGTTTTACCAGTGCATTTTACCACTGCATCTCCGCAGTGTATCAGTGGGTAATTAATTTATTTCATGATAAAAACATTTCAGAATTTAAACATGGAAAGAATGGGAATTAGTTTTTCATTTGGGATAATGTTCCGAGTTATCTACACATCCACAAAAATGCCACTTTCATTTATAATAGAAGCTGCTTTACACTTTTTAAATTATCATTGAGAAATCAGTTCTGAAATACACC